TACGTATGCTTATGTGTGCTCCTACATATTTGTGGGTTAGTCCGTTTAGGCATGAATGCCTCGTGCCGCTGTTGCTGCTTACAATACAAATGTACGGGTATGTATGTATGTATTTTCAAATTTTCATTTCCACAACCTTTCATTGCTGCTGAGGATGTGTGTCGGTGTGGAGACATGGCAGGTGAAAATGAAATGATGATGAGTTCATGTGTGTGAAATTCCGAAAATTTAAACATTTTTTTTTCGAATGTCATTTGCGTTTCCACTAAGGTTGAAAACGAAAACGAAATGGATTTAAATTGCTGATTAGAGGTAATGGCAAATGTACGCAGCCCCACATACACGCGCATACTTCAGCATTTAAGCCGACTTGCACTTGTGTGTGTGTGTGTGTAAATACTATATAAAATCTAAAATTCGTTCAACCATTTAGTGCTCGAAACTCAACCAATAATGTTGTTGTTGCTATTGGCGTTGACATTGTCCCTTGTATTTATAGTTGTTGCTTCCCTTTTGTTGTTTTCGATTTTGCTGTTTGTGGCGGTGGCGATGACGATGATACCAATACTGATGATAATGGTTATGGTAATGGTAATGATAGCGTTGATAACAGTAAAAGCAGCAAACCGTAAATGTCCGCGAGGCTACAGTAAAGCACACATCGAAGATTATTAGTTAGTACATTAGGATGTGTGTTAATTTCAAAACGTGTTCTAATATATTTCAATATACACAATGGGATTTCAGATGATAAAGATAGCAATAATAGCAAGTAAGTCCCCCATTCCATTGTAAGCAAGCGCGTTGTTGTTGTTGTAGCGATTACCTACCCCACTCAAATCGGATTGTCCATCAACCGTTTCTGTCCGGTTCAGCTAATGGCAGGCCCTGGAAGTGCGCAACTTCCACTGGGGTTGTCCATAGAGACAAAGGCGTTAGCTGGGTGGACGGAGGTGCCGTTAGTCATGTGGCAACTCTCCGCATGCCGGGCACTCGTTGCGTACATCTGCGCTAACTCTGCGACCTGTGAATGGAGTTTTTGTCTTGTCTATATACTGTTGGACCCAAAGGTTCTTTTGTGAACCTCTGGACTTTGTCCGTCAGTTGGTATAGATGTCTCCTGACGTGTATTCGGTGAGGGCTCTGCTGCAAGCAGGTGTCTGTTCAGGTGACCGCGCTTGTGGCACTCTACTAGGAACTGCTCGTAGGGGCGACATCAGAAGGCATCCAGTCACGCTCCGGAGTTCCGTACTCTGGCATGTCTGTTAGTCCTTCCACTGCGTTCTGCTGCGTTGCTCACACCAGAGGTAAAGTTACAAGCCTTCAAATACTTTTCCCACTCCTTCCGCTTATATACGTTCACAAGTCGCCACGTCTCCGTGTTGAGATCTCTAATTCGGGGAATTCGGAGATGGGCCTCACGAAGGTTGTTACGCTTATCAGCTAGAATAGTCGCTTCAGCTGGAAAATTCGCACGGAGGTCCGAAATGAATCCAGCTGGAATTAAACAGGTGCAGAACTAGTGAAAACCCTGCGGGAAGGGCAGCGAAGATGCTTTCAGTAGCTTCCGCAAAGCCGTTCCAATCATCTATGGAAAAGTTTATGTAAGTTCGGTATTCCGTGAAAGCGAAGTCGACAGGCTTATCAATCGGGATGTCTATGGGCCGACAAAAATTCAGGCCTAAGGCATTTTAGCATTTCCGCCATCATTCTCATCCCATTCTGCAATTACTTTTTATCTTACTGTTCACAAGTCTCAGGGATTTATTTCATCAACTTCATTTAGACTCTAGGGAAAATTTCAACTTTTGAAATGACACAAAAAAGGCGCAGAAACAAGTAAAGGTCATAAATTATGAATCTGTATGTATACCGTCTTTCCAAATCAGGTAAATCTTCGCAAGATAATTATATTTTTTTTAAAAAAGACTCAAAGGTTTACAAGGAAAAAATATATATTTTTTTTTTCATTTGTAATAAAGCCATTTATTCTGTCCGGATGTGTAAAATCTTATATATAACAAGTAAGAAAGTCCAAGTTCGGGCGGAGCCGAACATTACATACCCGGCGCAAGTACTAAATAAATGTTTTCTCACCTTTCCGAAGGCTACCGCTACATGGTAAGCTGGGTTGTATCAATTTTGAGTAAATTAGCGTCCTTAAATTTCGAAACATTGAAGTTTCAAGCATTTCTGAAATTTACCGTTATATGAAAAGCGGCCTCAATTTTAGTCCGATTTCAATAATTTTCAAAATTTTGCTTTTATATGGCAAGCACAATAACTATACCGAGTTTGGTACAAATTGGTGGAACGGTTACCGAGATAAATATATGTGATCATAAGTGGGCGGTGCTACGCCCATTTTCCAAAATTGTATCATAAACGTATTTCCTGGTAACCATCAATTTTGAATAAATTAGCGTTGATATTTACTGATTTATCGAAGATGTTGTATTTTTCTAAATTACCGTTATATGGGATGTCGGCGTTGTTCTTGTCCGATTTATACCAAGGCCAATAACTGTGCCAAATTTGTGCCAAGTTTGGTGCAGCGGTTACCAAGATATACACATGTAACCATAAGTGGGCGTGGCTACGCCCATTTTCCAAAAACTTATAATATTCTTATTTTTCGTCTGAAAATTATTGTAAATATCAATTTTGAGTGAATTATACGTGGCCTGTTCAAGAGTTGGCATTCCAAATTGTTTATTTATTCATACCCAAAATGGAAAAACAAAAAATGTTGTATATCCAAATAAGTTGGATTAAGATTTAAAATAAAGAATCAAAAATTTCGAAATAAAATAATTGATAAATTTTCATATAGAAAAATTCCAGGATTTTTCAGTAATTTTTCAATATTTTTCAATATTTGGTGTAGAGAAGCACACCGGGGTACCGCTAGTTTATTATATTTCTCAAACTGTTCGTTTTTACGTAAAAACAGATGTTTGAATATCAAAAGATTGTGTTAAAGTGAATTTAGGTATACCTTACGTTCATTTAATTTGGAAAAGACATGCTGACACAGGTCGTCGAAGTCAATCAAATGAACGACCTGATGACCTTGCGACCGAAAATGACAGAAGTCGTATCAGTATGTCCAAAATACGTTTGAAAGGAGCTGAACAATAAGCTGATAAATATAGATTGCAAAGAAAATCATATAAATTCTTTGATTTGCATATTTCCATTTTATTAGGCTGGGCCACAGCAAGACGTGGCCAGGTAACTCTGTTATTTCGCAATTATGTTTTCGCTGAAAAATAAAAGAGTTAGTGAAAAATGTTCTGATCAATATTAGTTCTGACGTGAATGCGGTTTTTGTTTAATTATTTATCTTGATTTATTTTATATTTTTGATCGCCTGGAATTGTAGATAATCATTTTGAAAAAAATTTTATTAGAGAACTTCTGTTTTTATTTGTGCCTTAAAATCGAACCAGCAAGGGCTTGGTTTTTCACAATATCATGAAGATGTTTAAAATATGCTAATATTTATTGTGTAAATCAGGCTTCGGAGCAATGGGTATGTACAGTAGTGGCCCAAGTTTTTTTCCTCTAGCCCTCAGATCTGAAGAATATCAAAAATAAGGAGAAACGTATTTGAAATCGATTAGTATTTACCCGTGCCGCCGGGGTATTGAAGTTTACCATGTACTTTACATGGCGTTTTTAAATAGGGTTGCCACCTACACTTTTGCAATATTTATTTTTAACGCTTTTACAGCAACTGTACGAAAAAATTTATTTTCCCCATAAAAAATACATAGAAAACAACAAAGCCCCGGCAGCGCGGGTAAATATTAATCGATTTTAAAATAATAAAAAACCGTTTCTCCTTATTTTTGATTTTCTTCAGTTCCGAGTGGTGGCAGCAGGTAAAATCAAAAAAGTTAATTTCTCTATGTTTCCCCTGGACCACCCTAATGTACAGCTAATTATATGATCCCAATATATTTTGTCTTGTAAATAAAATGGCAGATATTAACTAGAGGGCTGCATGAATGCATTCAAAACGGCTTTTGAATTATTCATATACAAAACGAATGAATGATTTTGGCTTCAAATTTTTTTGAATTTGAGTGAATATCTGTTCTGATATATGTGTCGCCATTACAATATTCAAACAATGTTAAAAATAAATTGAATTGAAATAAATGACAATTTTTTGTATGAATATCCAAAAATATTTTTTCTATGTACATATGTACAAACATACAATGTATGTATGTATGTATTGCTGCTTGTTTATGGAAAAAAACTTTTACCGAAATGAGTTTGAATGATTTGAATGTTTTCCATTCATTCATTCACATTCTTCCATTTGAAGGTAGAAAATATAAAACAAAATGTATATTCATAACTTAGAAAATTCCAAACGCTGAGTGTTTGGTATGTGAAGTAAAATATTCAAATCTACTGTATTCTGTTTGGCTAGAAGTTTGAATGAACTCATGCAGCCCTCTAATATTAACTCAGCAAAAAAATCCGAAAATTGATCCGAAAAAGGATGAATGATGACAAGGATGGATGAAATGCGGATTTTTCTTCGTTTACTGTTTCTATTTACAGTTTTTCCACAAAAGTGTGCGGCAGACTGGAATGTACAGATAAGAACCGAAAATTGATAAATTTTTGGCTGATTTTCTAAAATTTTTCTAATTTAATGTTTCGTTCAATACGCTTTCATTCTGCACTTCACAAGGGCTCTTTCATAAACGAAAATCGTAGTGGTATGCCCTTCGTTTACGGGTACGTCGACAAACGGTTTGTTTTTACACACACGGGAACCTAAAAAAACCCATTTTCTTGCTCGAAACTAAACATTAAATTGCACATTACGGCACGTTGCAACTAATAGTTAGAAGAGAATTTAACAATCTATAGTATGTAATTATAGTTTTAAGAAGAAAAATGTACTTTATTTGTAGTTTAGAATAAAGTCAAGATCCTTAATTCGTGTGCATTCATAGGACATTACTAAGTAACTTTCAATACTTTACAGCGCGCTGATTAGCCTTAACCTTGCCTCTGTTACGGCTACTGCTTCGCGACATGCGAATGTTATTATAAAGCCGCAGAGTGAAATAGTAAATAAACTCTATGAGACTGAGAATGCTAGCGCCCAAAAACAAGCCCAATATGCCGCCAATGGTGACCACAACGTCCAAGCGAGTACGGATCGCTTGACGCCTATAACGCTCAGTGGGTCGATCAGAGAGACTAATTGCAATGCTGCGGTTTTTGACGCCTTTGCGATTGCTTGAAAAAAAAACAATAGAAAGCTTACAGCAAATTCACCAACGACAAACTTTTACACCACACACCTCGGACTATACTCCATTACCGAACGCAAATCGTGCTCAACGCACGATGGCAAGCAATCACAAGTTTCATTATTCTCCGGCCAGGGTAGCAACATTTTGATATCCGGCGTAGCCTTCGTCTCCTTCTCCAAACACAAGTAGCCACTGTAATCGCAATCGGGCATATCTTTCCGCGGCACCGGCAACAAATTGTACATTGTGCAGTTACAGTAACGCATCTGCAGCAAACGTATACAATCGACCATACAGGCGCTGAAGCTGTAGGCACGGAAGGATGAATGCGGCGTGACCTCGTGGGGAAAGCGGCAACCTCGGTGTTCTGGTATCACTTCATGTACATCCGGATCGTTGATCATTTCTTGCAGCGAAATTCGAAAATCCGTATGCTTGCCAGGCGTCGCTATCTTCACCGTAATGCCAGCCAAGTTGGCGTAGGGTATATCCTCCTTATTGATAACGAAAACCTGGCAGTTTTGGGAATTCAGAGGTAAATATGTGTGTCCATATATTATGCTTATCTAACAAACCTCCATTGCCACTTGGGTAACTAGACGCATTGTTGCAGCAGCATGATTGTCTTCAACCACATTTGGGAACCAATATTCGCTGTTGCTGTGTTGGCGAGAAAGGGCGATAATGTGTAGTTATGCGTGTAGATATCACGATTAATATTTAATGAGAATGTTTTGACCAGACGAGCAGTGGTGCATAGGTTAATTTGCATCACTCTACTTCGGAATCCCCCGATTTGATGAAGTTCATCCTGGAGAAAGATATTGATGGAGCCCTGATCCAAGAACCCTGGGTTTTAAAAGGTAGGATCAATGGGCTAAGTATGACTGCTACCGTCTGTTCACCCCAATGACGTAAGGTAAGATAAGAACCTGTATCCTTTGACAGCACAGGCGCAGATGCAGCTGGTGCTAACATCTCCTTACTGGCCATACGAGGAGGAGCCAACTGGTGTCACAAGACCAGTCACGTGGGCTGGATCTGGTAATAGCCTGCAACACGAATGGTCACCATGAGCTTCGGGGCAGAATGGACACCAATTCATGTTAGAAAAGAGGGATTAGATTTAAAACTGGCCTCTGATTCGACTACCGGCAAGGTTAGTACATAGTTGGAGGGCATCCAACACATGTTCATGGAACAAAACGGACTAGGAGCTAACCCTTAAAAAATCGAACTTTTCTTGTTTACAAGGAAAACAAAAATTCCGAATTTCCCCTTAACAAAACTGGACGCGACTAGCCTGCATCTTTCCTCAGATGCGAAATACTCAGGTATTATTAGAGTCTGCCCTTAACAGGTGACAATGAAAGCGCAACGTAGAGGCTCTGTAAAAGAACTTTCGGGAAAAGTCGGGGGCTGTCACCGCATATCTATATGGAACGCTGGTCTGGTAGAAAGCACTGGATAAAAGCAGTAATCAGAGAATTATTGGAAGAGTGCTGAGACTCGCAAGCCTCGGTACATCAAGTTGCAGCCCCAGAAGGAGCCTTTAGACTGAGGGAATCATAATCCTGGAAGCAATCCAATTATGGGCACATAGCGGTCTTGAAGGTAAGTAAGAGTGGACTGCGTAACAGAATGAAGTCCGACTTAGATGTCGAAACTGAATACCTCACGTCAACATGGCATTTTAGTTTTAAGATTCCTAAACGCTCTCCAATCCCGGAAGATTGGGAATGTCAGTAAAGGACATTATTTAAATCTACATCGATGATTCAAAGATAGAAAAAGGAGTCGGCCCAAGTCTGTACTCCAAGAACCTTCAAATAAGACAATCATATCTCCTACCTGATAACTGCAGTGTCTGTCAGGCGGAAATCTTTGCCATAGAGAAGACGGCAGTTAGCGAAGCAGATAACTTCCTACTGCCACCGATTTCATTTCTGCTATTACCGGTTGAAGAATACACCAAATTCGCAGACCTATGGATCAATCAGTCGTCCTGATCTTAAATTCCTTACTGCTTAGACTCATTAAGAGTCGTACTAATGAATTATTGAAACTAAACAAATCTACGTTAGGGGCGATTACCGGTGTCCAATGTAACACCAATGCTACAGCGATTGCGTATACCAACAAGATCTCTCTGCAGAAGTTGATGGTATGAGGATGAAGAGGAATCGATTCACCACTTCTTACGTCAATGCCCAGCTCTCCAGACCTGGCCTCTAAACTATTTGGGATCGCGCATTTTCAATAGATTGGTGGAGGTGAAAATATCGAACCTTCACGGCTTGATCTGGGATAGTTAATAGCTTGACAGACTCTATATCGACAGAATGTATTAACATCGATTAGAAGGATGTACCTCCTCCTGGCACTAATAGCGGGCATTCAAAATGGGCAGATCTGTCTCCCTGCAGAGGTATAAGTCAATCGTACACGCCTCCTTAACTCAACCTAACCCAAATGAGATTTTTGATCTACCAGACCAAGCGCTGTTGTCAGTTAATGAAACAAATTTTCATTGAAGAATGGAGATGGTTAGATATGTCATCAATGTCTGTCTTATGACCGTCTAATTTATGGCTATAACATTATTTATGACTAAATATGTATTACCAAACTTACGGATGGTTATTTTGTAGCGAATTCAGTAGAAAGCAAATGCCATACGGTGTTTGAAATGGAACAAAGTAATGGCAACAATTGAATGCCTTACCACCCAACGAACATTCCAATAGTACGTAAGAGCAATTCTGGTGGAGCTTTAAACAATATTAATAGTTAATATTTTATGTATAAATGTCAATTCATTAAGTTCTATATGCATACATAATTTATATATAATTTGTATATAAGTAACACTCAACATACCATTCCAATTAGCTCTCGATAGCCCGCATGCGGACATTCAGTATCAGTGCCCTCCTTTTCGTAGCAGTGCGCTTTCGCATTGCCAGAGTTGTATTCATGTGGAAAGAGTAGTTTCAAAACAAATATTTCGATATCATACTCGTAATCATCTGGCCAACTGGAGTGAGTTAAAGAAAAAATACATAAGTTTTCGAAGAAATTTAATTTGATTGGAAATATCGCTTTGGGCAATAAAACAAAAATTTAAGTGCAAAAGTATAAGTAGCGAAAAGGTTTAAAATTTTTAATTGAGATTTCTGAATTTAAACTTAGGAAAGTTTCAAAAATAGAGGCTACATTTTCTTAAATTTTGTGTTTTCAGAAATGAATGAAATAAATAAATAAATTATAGCTTAACACAGATATTTTAACGGCCCTTAAAGCGTTAAATATATTTATTTATAAATATAGATATTGAAGGGTTTTGCTTTTACGCGGTTTTGGTTCTTTGAAAAGGGTTGCCAGATGTTAGGATATCAAATGCAAATAATCGAGTTCGGATATGTTTACGTAAAATATTTAACCCACCGTCACCAGATCTGCACCGAGAATTGAAGAGATTGGTATGTAGAAGTGCAATGCCACCAGCCAAGAAAAATCAAATTAAATGAACCTATTTCAGATTATAAGTTCAACAAAATCTCAAACAAGGCTTTACTATCAAAACATTTTGAAGTGAGTTGTCCTCTGCTTAAAATTCAAATTTTTATTTTTCATAAGTAAAATTAAATATTACATAGGAATAGAAACAGTCATGAGAAAGCTTTTTGTGGAAAATATTTTTAAATGGGGATGCCATCTGTTTAAAAGTTACCTTGAATTGGATTAATACGTTAACTGAAACACCACAAAATTATTCAATGTTAAATTAAAAATTATTTAAATAAGTTTTATTTTTAAAATGCTTTAAAAGTGAAATTAAATTCAATCGTTACTAAATTGAAATATAAAAATATTGAGATCAAAGGAAATATGTTGAAAAGATCTTTATCATCAAATCAATTTAATTTAATATCATAATATGGATGTAAAACGAACGAAGACTGTGTCACCTTCTATTTAACCTGTTTTTGACGGAATTGTCACCTAAGGACTGTACCCAAAAAAACTGCACAAATTATTTAGACTGGACCAGGTAATGTTCTGAGTCCATTTTGACGTTGGTTTCATTGTCTATGACAATGCCACGAAGCAAATGGTCGTATAATTTTCGGAGCCTTGTTTCCCTCACTTCCAGTTGTCTTTCACCTTTTTTAGGTACTTTCTGTTCTTTTTTTGAAGTTTTCAACTTACGCCTTTTCTTAACCCTTTGTATCATGGGCGAACTTGTTTTTCCTTTGTTTGCAAAATCTCTCACGGACATTGTTTTATTTTGGCTTATTGAAGCCAGTAAACTTTATTCAAGATTCTGACCAGTTGCACACTTTTTTCTTCCAATTTCTGGTCTGTCTTTGATAGAAGTAGTATCACCAAATTTGTTAATGATGTTTTTGACACTATTTATACTTGACTTTATACCTATATAAAACTCCTTTTCCAGTGAGGTAATTGTACATAATTTTCTTGCGCACTTCCTCTTCGATTTGCGGCAGCGCGAAAACTATAAAATTTATGTTAAAAAGACAATATTTCTTGTATTCCAACGGTGCCCAAAAAAAGTGCATCAAGTGCCTATTTTCCAATAAATTTGAATTTGAAAGTGTGCAGTTTCTTTTCGGTACAGTCCTATATAAACCATTTAAAAAATTTAGTTTACCTAGGAAATGTAAGTTTTTTAACCGACTTTCAAAAAATTAGAAAGGAATATATTTTATATGTATGTTACCGGACAACTTTTGACCACTTGTGTTACCCCAGGGTTACCCCGATGATTGAAAAATGAAAAAATTAACGGCATTCAAAAATTTCAATATCAGCATTGAAATATTTTTTGCTTAAAAATTACTTGTTTTTTATTGAAATGGTCAACTAAGTTTAAATTCGAGACATTGATTTCAGGGAAACGAGAACTTTTACTAACTTTATTAATTTCGATGATGTAATTTGTTTTTTTTTTTTTGTTGCATTTGAAATCATAACGTTAAACCGAACTCACGTAGGCGTAGTTGTGGGCAAAAGCTAGTTGCTCATAGAAATTTCTATTTTAAATTAAATAACATACACAACTAAATTTTTCCTTGTTGTGAAAAGTAAATAAAAACACATTCCCTACGCATAAAGCTAAAGCGATATAAGCTGTGTACTCAGTTATGAATGCGTATACGAGTATCACAATTATGTGCGTTAATTTTCACTTATCGCAATCAGTGTATGCTGTGCGCTTACCAATTGCCTGGAGCACTTTTAACTTAACTCTTTCTTTATTATCTTCTTTCATTTTCCTCATTACCAATTTGAGCTTAATTGCAAAGCATGTGTACATGTTTTCAGGCGAATATATTTGTGTGCTAGCATATACATACAATTGTATTTATATGTATATAATATATTTTAATATATAAACATACATATATATCTATAAAAAATGTTCGAATTTATGTTTGCAATCACAAGGATGTACATTAGACCGTACCAACTTACCAGCAAACAAAAAATGTAGGCACAACCGAGTCTAAAGTATTATTGCAAATCAATTAAAAATAATAATTTTTGACCAAACCTAAGGGTCGCCTTTCTATATTTTTCGGTGACCACTACATTCGGCATAAAACATTTATTTTAATAGTTCCACTGGAATAATAAAAAAAAATCCTTTCAATTTTTGGAGAGCTTAAATTTGCGGGCATTAGGGTGGAATATTGGGATGGTAGGAACTGAGATCTGGTGGACAAATACTAGAAC